CCCACACCCACACCCACACCCACACCCACACCCACCCACACCCACACTCCGTGATCTAACATTAGCATATGCAACTTCTGAACAAGGATTAACTTCGTCAACTTTACGAGTGTGGGTGTGGGTGTGGGTGAGTGTGGGGTGGGTGGGTGTGGGTGTGGGGTGAGTGTGGGTGTGTGGGTGGGGGTGGGTGTGGATGTGGGTGGGGTGGGTGGGTGTGGGTGTGGGGTGAGTGTGGGTGTGTGGGTGGGTGTGGGTGTGGATGTGGGTGGGGTGTGGGTACGGGTGTGAATAGTCGTTAAAACACCCACACCCACACCCACACCCACACCCACACCGACGCCCACACCCACCCACACACACACCCACACCCCACACCCCACACCCCACACCCACACCCCACACCCACACACCCACACCCACACACCCACACCCTCCTCTTGTGATCTTTTATATTCATGTTTTTGTTTTCCTTTTAAATATTTCATCATTCAACATCAACGGGTGAGTTAATGTTTTTTTCTTTTTCTTTTCTTTGTTGAGCTGAGACTAGTTAGGGTGAGTGAGGTACGTTGAGATTAGGGTTTTGCGTTATAAGAAGGACTTCCAGGTAGTCCCTAAAAGCCCGGCCAGGAACTGATTTGGTATCCATGGCACACGATCGGGCCCCCAGACTCACTGATATATGACATCGGATGGGTGCATATGGATGATGTGGGTCTTCCCGTGCGTGCATGAGCTTTACGCTCGCCACGGCTCCACCAGGATGGTTCCTGGTCGCGCTCGTGTGCGAATAGAATAGCTTTCGGGCAGAGTTTAGTATAGCCCCGCACTTGTTATAAACTTTCCTCATCACTAGACAACCTTAAAATATCAAAATGCGAACAGATGTTTGCATTAACCTGAGAGTGATGATGTCACATATGCATATATCCATCAGGCTTGTGTCGCCCTCTATTGATGTTTTCTATTCGCCGTGCTGTTCTCTATTCGTTGAGTCTTCATTATCACCCTGCGAATTTTACATCTGAATTGGTCTACTTTTCTTTTACATAATTTCTTGGTGATACGATGTTTACATTCACTGATTTAGTTTTAAAAGTCATCAAAGATCATGAAGAAGGAAAAAAAATTTAATTGGTTCATACATTCACCCTTTATATATATAAATAGATGGCGCGCCTTTTAGAAGTGCCTATTTTTCTATTTAGCTTCATTTGGAATTTTGGTTGATTGCTTTCGATTCACAACGAAATGAAGTGTTAATAGCATACAATGGGCTATTTAATTTCAGTCTGAATTTATCAAATAAAAATAATACTTGATTTCAAACTGAAACGTGAGTCTAGGAGTGAGGGAGGGGGGGACTGAGGGTGTGGGTGTTGGTCTGGGACCCACACACCCACCCACACCCATGGTGCGGGTGTGGGCGCGCGAGTGAGGGTGAGGGTGTGCTTGTGGTTTTGTGTACTATAGGCTTTAGTCCCCTGCACAGGGGACTAAGCGGGGACTAAGCTTTTTGTGGGGGGGACTAAGGGGGCGTTGCCGGACTGGGGGGGACTAAGGGTTTTTAGTGAGACTACGTAGTATCAAGCGAGAAAAGTTTGATTCGGAAGAAATTGGTGTGGGTTTTTTGATTTTAGAATTCAGTTTGAAATAAAAAAGCCCATAGACTCGTTAATAGAGTAGGAATAAAATCAATGAAAATGTGTTAGGCGTTGGTTTCTATAGTGCGGGGCTATACTAAACTCTGCCCAAGCTTTCAATGTATTTTTCCATTTAATCACGATTTATTTGAAAGAGAAAGAGAACAAACAAAAATAAAACTCATCATCGTATTGAATTTCATGCGATATTAAATTTTTGTACTCGATGATTTTTGCAATCCACGACATAGAGATTACCATACCGATCGAATGATAAACCTGTGGGACAATTGAGTTGATTCGAGTGTGCACCTTGACCGTTTCCATCAACGATGACACTTCCTTGTGTGGCTCCTTTTGACCAACGCATGATTCGATCATTCCAAGAATCAGCCACATAGACAGTACCCAATTGATCGACAACGACTCCATTAGGATAGTACAATTGTGTAAGACTATTTCCTTGTCCTTGACCACCGGCTACGATAATGCCTTGTGTTGCA